ACACATTAATCTATTGCAGGCTGGTACACTCAGTTTACAATCTTCGTGCCTACCAGTATAAAGGATGTCAGTGACAAGAGAGTGACTCTCAATGACGTCACTCACGTGGTTAAACAAAGTATGGCAGTGACAAGAGAGTGACTCTCAATGACGTCACTCACGTGGTTAAATAAAGGATGACAGTGACAAGAGAGTGACTCTCAATGACGTCACTCACGTGGTTAAATAAAGGATATCAGTGACAAGAGAGTGACTCTCAATGACGTCACTCACGTGGTTAAACAAAAGATGACAGTGACAAGAGAGTGACTCTCAATGACGTCACTCACGTGGTTAAATAAAGGATGACAGTGACAAGAGAGTGACTCTCAATGACGTCACTCACGTGGTTAAATAAAGGATGACAGTGACAAGAGAGTGACTCTCGATGACGTCACTCACGTGGTTAAATAAAGGATGTCAGTGACAAGAGAGTGAATCTCAATGACGTCACTCACGTGGTTAAATAAAGGATGTCAGTCACACGAGATTTCACTTCGTTGAAGTATTGAAAGGGGACGGACGGATGGACACATTAATCTATTGCAGGCTGGTACACTCAGTTTACAATCTTCGCTACTACCAGTATAAAGGATGTCAGTGACAAGAGAGTGACTCTCAATGACGTCACTCACGCGGTTAAATAAAGGATGACAGTGACAAGAGAGTGACTCTCAATGACGTCACTCACGCGGTTAAATAAAGGATGACAGTGACAAGAGAGTGACTCTCAATGACGTCACTCACGTGGTTAAATAAAGGACGTCAGTGACAAGAGAGTGACTCTCAATGACGTCACTCACGTGGTTAAAATAAAGGATGTCAGCGACAAGAGATTGGCTCTCAATGACGTCACTCACGTGGTTAAATCAAGGATGACAGTGACAAGAGAGTGACTCTCAATGACGTCACTCACGTGGTTAAATAAAGGATGTCAGTCACACGAGATTTCACTTCGTTGAAGTATTGAAAGGGGACGGACGAACGGACACATTAATCTATTGCAGGCTGGTACACTCAGTTTACAATCTTCGCTACTACCAGTATAAAGGATGTCAGTGACAAGAGAGTGACTCTCAATGACGTCACTCACGTGGTTAAATAAAGGATGTCAGTGACAAGAGAGTGAATCTCAATGACGTCACTCACGTGGTTAAATAAAGGATGACAGTGACAAGAGAGTGACTCTCAATGACGTCACTCACGCGGTTAAATAAAGGATGACAGTGACAAGAGAGTGACTCTCAATGACGTCATTCACGTGGTTAAACAAAGGATGTCAGTGACAAGAGAGTGACTCTCAATGACGTCACTCACGTGGTTAAATAAAGGATGACAGTCACACGAGATTTCACGTCGTTGAAGTATTGAAAGGGGATGGACGGACGGACACATTAATCTATTGCAGGCTGGTACACTCAGTTTACAATCTTCCTTCCTACCAGTATAAAGGATGTCAGTGACAAGAGAGTGACTCTCAATGATGTCACTCACGTGGTTAAATAAAAGGATGTCAGTCACACGAGATTTCACTTTGTTAAAGTATTGAAAGGGGACGGACGGACGGACACATTAATCTATTGCAGGCTGGTACACTCAGTTTACAATCTTCCTTCCTACCAGTATAAAGGATGTCAGTGACAAGAGAGTGACTCTCAATGACGTCACTCACGTGGTTAAATCAAGGATGACAGTGACAAGAGAGTGACTCTCAATGACGTCACTCACGTGGTTAAACAAAGGATGGCAGTGACAAGAGAGTGAATCTCAATGACGTCACTCACGTGGTTAAATAAAAGGATGTCAGTCACACGAGATTTCACTTCGTTAAAGTATTGAAAGGGGACGGACGGACGGACACATTAATCTATTGCAGGCTGGTACACTCAGTTAACAATCTTCGTGCCTACCAGTATAAAGGATGTCAGTGACAAGAGAGTGACTCTCAATGACGTCACTCACGTGGTTAAACCAAGGATGACAGTGACAAGAGAGTGACTCTCAATGACGTCACTCACGTGGTTAAATAAAAGGATGTCAGTCACACGAGATTTCACTTCGTTAAAGTATTGAAAGGGGACGGACGGACGGACGGACACATGAATCTATTGCAGGCTGGTACACTCAGTTTACAATCTTCGTGCCTACCAGTATAAAGGATGTCAGTGACAAGAGAGTGACTCTCGATGACGTCACTCACGTGGTTAAACAAAGGATGACAGTGACAAGAGAGTGACTCTCAATGACGTCACTCACGTGGTTAAATAAAGGATGGCAGTGACAAGAGAGTGAATCTCAATGACGTCACTCACGTGGTTAAACAAAGGATGTCAGTCACACGAGATTTCACTTCGTTAAAGTATTGAAAGGGGACGGACGGACGGACACATGAATCTATTGCAGGCTGGTACACTCAGTTTACAATCTTCGTTCCTACCAGTTTAAAAAAAAAACTCCCTTGCTGCAGGCGTCGATGAGGTGCCATACCCTTTGCTTGCCAGGAGAGGGCGGTTCAGAAACAGAGTGGGTGGACTGATGAGCGCCTGTTCCACACTCCCTCGAAACCCGTAGGTGGGTTCCGAGGGCAATGCGCGCCCCTGGATTTGGCCAGGAGAAGGCAGCGCAGCAGAGTGTGTGGACCAATCTCCATCCATTCCATCTGTGTGGCATTGAGAGCGTAGGGGGTTTTTTTTTCTCAGGATGATTCGCGTTTCCTCCCCGCACGTGAACGATGATTATGATAATACATACGCTAATCGCGAATCGGGTGACAAACATCTCAAGCATAAAAGTCCCAAAGCAGGTTGCTCTCAGAGATGATTATAAAGTGATAACGTGACTCATTGTTAATTTGTTTTTACCGGCTGTAAGGCCAATTGCCCTATATATAGCTCTTCTTCAGAAAGCAACTTGGCTATCACAAACGATAGCTCAACCAAGTGGCTTATCATCATCACGTGGAATTGTTTAGCAGCGAGCAAATACTCTAAGCGGGTGATTGTTGATTCTAAAATTGTAGGGGGGAAAAAACTAGAGCACCCAGGGAAAATTGCACGCGACCACAGGGAGGAGGAGAGAGAGACAGAAAGAGAGAGAGAGAGATGCAGACTCCAAATATACAGCAGGTTGTCAGGGTTTGGCATCGAACCCATGACCTTCTATATACCATGCGAGGTAGTTAACATCTCCTAGCCGCAGTGGCGTCCAACATACAATCGAGGCAGCGCAAACGTCAATTCGTTGTCCGGCAATGTGTCCACAGGCTCTGGTCCTGAAGAGGAGACCCTACTCAAGGTGAATATCTCTGGGACTCAGGTAACGTGGACGCAGCATTGACACCAGTAGCAGCTCAGCCCTCCAGCACCGTGCGCGGTGTCTCCAATAATCTTTTAAACTGATGGCACGAATGTACACCGCTCGGCAATAGAACACGCGCGAATTTACACGTTGCCCATGACCGTGAATCCACTGTGAAGGTGCGAGTTGCCAAACGTCAGCATCGCAACCTTAATGGCTTGGAGAAGATCTGCAAAGAGGAGTGGGACCAAAAATCCCTCCTGACATGTGTGCAAACCTGGTGGCCAACTACAAGAAACGTCTGACCTCTCTGTGATTGCCAACAAGGGTTCTGCCACCAAGTACTAAGTCATGTTTTGCAGAGGGGTCAAATACTGATTTCCCCCATTAAAATGCAAATCAATTCACAACATTTTTGACATGCGTTTTTTCCGAATTTTTGTTGTTGTTATTCTGTCTCTCACTGTTCAAATAAACCGACCATTAACATCATAGACTGATCATTTCTTTGTCAGTGGGCAAACGTACAAAATCAGCAGGGGATCAAATACTTTTTTTTCCCTCACTGTATGACAGTAAATCCATGGTTCTGAATCCAAGGTTCTGTGGATTTTTCTCTGAGTTCTCTGCTTTTTCCCCTCCACATTAAGAATCAACGTCACGCGTTTAGTGTATATGGCTGCTATACATTTCCACGTGATGAGCCACTTTGTTGAGCTATAATTTGTGATGACCGGGTCTCTTTAAAAAAAAAAAAGAGCTACATAGCTCAGCGTGGCCTTACCTGGTAAATTAAAACATAGTTTAGTTGTGGTCTTTTCCACCGCACGTAGCTAACTGTGCCAATCAGAGGTGTGGCAATCAATGCAAGCAATCTCAATTTGAAATGCTTACCAATTTGTGGCTTCTGGATCAAACCCACGACCTCCTGCATAGCAGGCGAGATAGGTAACATCTTCCTAGCCACCATAGCACCCACGGTGGCGATGCGGCAGTGACTCAGAATTGGTGCTGGCTCCGGCGATCTGACCTCTGAACCAATGCACAGCAGCCTCACCCAATTGTGTCCCGTGGGGCCCCGGTAGCTTGCACCGACCGAGACTCTCTTTTGTCGTCCCCCGCCGATCCAAAGCAGAAGGGCGACGACAACATCGCACCACTGCAGGTGATGAAGGACCACTGGGATGAGCTGAAGGAGTGTGTGGGCGTGAACCCGACCCCTCTGCTGGACCACCTGAGCAACAACCGCACGATCACGCGCAGATTCCGCAGCGTGGCCGCGGCCAAGGGCGGCGAGGAGTGTGTGGAGTTCCTGCTCGAGCACCTCGTCAACGAGCGAGAGGAGGAGCACATGAAACTGTGGAACGCTCTCTACGCCGTCAGGAGGAACTACCTGCAGATCTGGAGGATGCTTCAGGAAAACGGTGCGTTGTCCATTGCCCCCTAAAGCGCCATCTTTTCAGAGGTCACTCACAACAGCCCTAACCTGTTGGAAATGTCACGAGCCGCCACTAGAAAGCGGAGCGCCTTTTTTCACTGGTGACGAGGCGCCCCTAGCGTAGAGGCCGCAGGCTACACAGCAAAAAAGAAATCGGGTAATAGAATCGCGCTATTATATTAGAATCGTACTATAATAGGGAAAAAAAAAGTTTTACTGGCTGACTGGCTTGCTGGCTGGAACGTGGACGGGCGGGCAAGTGCGCGGTCGCCAATGCCTGCATCTGTGTGACGACATCAATCGCGTCGCGCAACGTTTTGAGCCGCACAGATGGAAATGGATGGCAATTATATTTCTTAGCTCTTTCGGTAAAGTCACCACCACGTTGAAGGGAAACAATAAAGTAATAAAATATATATATGAAACAATAAAAAAAATTCTCACGACGTTTCGACCATAACACAAACGGTCATCATCAGGTGTGTCGGTTGAAATTGTCTCTGTGCTTGTATATGTGGATAGCCTCATGAACGAATCTCTCATGGTAGCCAGATGGCTTATAAATAAATAAATACACCGTTTAAAAATAAATACATTAATGCAAACCGACACACGTGATGACGACCGTTTGTGTTATGGTCGAAACGTCGTGAGAATTTTTATTGTTTCATATATATTTTATTATTTTATTGTTTCCCTTCAACGTGACTTTTACCGAAAGAGCTAAGAATATGAATTACTGCAGTCACGAAAGCTTTAAATCAAAATTTAGATGGCAATAAGTCCACGAAGCTGCTTATGGTCCACCCTAAAACCGCATCCACTGCACAAACAATGGACAGCAGCAGATGGAAGGGCTGTCCACTACAGCTCGAAGGGCTGTTCACTACAGCTGGAAGGGCTGTTCACTACAGATGTAAGAGTTGTCCACTACAGCTGGAAGGGCTGTTCACTACAGCTGGAAGGGCAGTCCACTACAGCTGGAAGGGCTGTTCACTACAGCTGGAAGGGCCGTCCATAACAGCTGGAAGGGCCGTCCACTACAGCTGGAAGGGCCGTCCACTACAGCTGGAAGGGCTGTTCACTACAGATGTAAGGGCTGTCCGCTACAGCTGGAAGGGCTGTTCACTACAGCTGGAAGGGCTGTTCGCTACAGCTGGAAGGGCTGTTCGCTACAGCTGGAAGGGCTGTTCACTACAGCTGGAAGGGCTGTTCACTACAGCTGGAAGGGCTGTTCGCTACAGCTGGAAGGGCCGTTCACTACAGATGTAAGGGCTGTTCACTACAGCTGGAAGAGCCGTCCACTAGAGCTGGAAGGGCTGTTCGCTACAGCTGGAAGGGCTGTTCGCTACAGCTGGAAGGGCCGTCCATTACAGCTGGAAGGGCTGTTCACTACAGTTGGAAGGGCTGTTCACTACAGATGGAAGGGCAGTCCACAACAGTTGGAAGGGCTGTTCACTACAGATGTAAGGGTTGTCCACTACAGCTGGAAGGGCTGTTCACTACAGCTGGAAGGGCAGTCCACTACAGCTGGAAGGGCTGTTCGCTACAGCTGTAAGGGCAGTCCACTACAGACGGAAGGGCTGTTCACTACAGACGGAAGGGCTGTTCACTACAGACGGAAGGGCTGTTCACTACAGCTGGAAGGGCTGTTCACTACAGCTGGAAGGGCTGTTCACTACAGCTGGAAGGGCCGTTCACTACAGCTGGAAGGGCAGTCCACAACAGCTGGAAGGGCTGTTCACTACAGCTGGAAGGGCCGTCCACTACAGCTGGAAGGGCTGTTCACTACAGGTGGAAGGGCTGTTCACTACAGCTGGAAGGGCTGTTCACTACAGCTGGAAGGGCTGTTCACTACAGCTGGAAGGGCTGTTCACTACAGCTGGAAGGGCCGTCCACTACAGACGGAAGGGCTGTTCGCTACAGTTGGAAGGGCCGTCCACAACAGCTGGAAGGGCTGTTCACTACAGCTGGAAGGGCTGTTCGCTACAGCTGGAAGGGCTGTTCACTACAGCTGGAAAGGCTGTTCACTACAGCTGGAAGGGCCGTCCACTACAGCTGGAAGGGCTGTTCGCTACAGCTGGAAGGGCCGTCCACAACAGCTGGAAGGGCTGTTCACTACAGCTGGAAGGGCTGTTCGCTACAGCTGGAAGGGCTGTTCACTACAGCTGGAAAGGCTGTTCACTACAGCTGGAAGGGCCGTCCACTACAGCTGGAAGGGCTGTTCGCTACAGCTGGAAGGGCCGTCCACTACAGCTGGAAGGGCTGTTCACTACAGCTGGAAGGGCTGTTCACTACAGCTGGAAGGGCCGTCCACAACAGCTGGAAGGGCTGTTCACTACAGCTGGAAGGGCCGTCCACTACAGCTGGAAGGGCTGTTCACTACAGCTGGAAGGGCTGTTCACTACAGCTGGAAGGGCCGTCCACAACAGCTGGAAGGGCTGTTCACTACAGCTGGAAGGGCTGTTCGCTACAGTTGGAAGGGCCGTCCACAACAGCTGGAAGGGCTGTTCGCTACAGCTGGAAGGGCAGTCCACAACAGTTGGAATGGCTGTTCACTACAGCTGGAAGGGCTGTTCACTACAGCTGGAAGGGCAGTCCACTACAGCTGGACGGGGAGTGCACTATAGATGTAAGGGCAGTCCACTACAGTTGGAAGGGCTGTTCGCTACAGCTGGAAGGGCTGTTCACTACTGATGTAAGGGTTGTCCACAACAGCTGGAAGGGCTGTTCGCTACAGCTGGAAGGGCCGTCCACTACAGACGGAAGGGTCGTCCACTACAGCTGGAAGGGCTGTTCACTACAGCTGGAAGGGCTGTTCACTACAGCTGGAAGGGCTGTTCACTACAGATGTAAGGGTTGTCCACTACAGCTGGAAGGGCTGTTCGCTACAGCTGGAAGGGCTGTCCACTACCGATGGAAGGGCTGTTCACTAAAGCTGGAAGGGCTGTTCACTACACCTGGAAGGGCTGTTCGCTACAGCTGGAAGGGCAGTCCACTACAGCTGGAAGGGCTGTTCACTACAGCTGGAAGGGCTGTTCGCTACACCTGGAAGGGCTGTTCACTACAGCTGGAAGGGCTGTTCACTACAGCTGGAAGGGCCGTCCACTACAGCTGGAAGGGCTGTTCACTACAGCTGGAAGGGCTGTTCACTACAGCTGGAAGGGCTGTTCACTACAGATGTAAGAGTTGTCCACAACAGCTGGAAGGGCTGTTCACTACAGCTGGAAGGGCCGTCCACTACAGACGGAAGGGCTGTCCACTACAGCTGGAAGGGCCGTCCACAACAGCTGGAAGGGCTGTTCACTACAGCTGGAAGGGCTGTTCGCTACAGTTGGAAGGGCCGTCCACAACAGCTGGAAGGGCTGTTCGCTACAGCTGGAAGGGCAGTCCACAACAGTTGGAATGGCTGTTCACTACAGCTGGAAGGGCTGTTCACTACAGCTGGAAGGGCAGTCCACTACAGCTGGACGGGGAGTGCACTATAGATGTAAGGGCAGTCCACTACAGTTGGAAGGGCTGTTCGCTACAGCTGGAAGGGCTGTTCACTACTGATGTAAGGGTTGTCCACAACAGCTGGAAGGGCTGTTCGCTACAGCTGGAAGGGCCGTCCACTACAGACGGAAGGGTCGTCCACTACAGCTGGAAGGGCTGTTCACTACAGCTGGAAGGGCTGTTCACTACAGCTGGAAGGGCTGTTCACTACAGATGTAAGGGTTGTCCACTACAGCTGGAAGGGCTGTTCGCTACAGCTGGAAGGGCTGTCCACTACCGATGGAAGGGCTGTTCACTAAAGCTGGAAGGGCTGTTCACTACACCTGGAAGGGCTGTTCGCTACAGCTGGAAGGGCAGTCCACTACAGCTGGAAGGGCTGTTCACTACAGCTGGAAGGGCTGTTCGCTACACCTGGAAGGGCTGTTCACTACAGCTGGAAGGGCTGTTCACTACAGCTGGAAGGGCCGTCCACTACAGCTGGAAGGGCTGTTCACTACAGCTGGAAGGGCTGTTCACTACAGCTGGAAGGGCTGTTCACTACAGATGTAAGAGTTGTCCACAACAGCTGGAAGGGCTGTTCACTACAGCTGGAAGGGCCGTCCACTACAGACGGAAGGGCTGTCCACTACAGCTGGAAGGGCTGTTCACTACAGCTGGAAGGGCCGTCCACTACAGCTGGAAGGGCTGTTCGCTACAGCTGGAAGGGCTGTTCACTACAGCTGGAAGGGCCGTCCACTACAGTGGAAGGGCTGTTCGCTACAGCTGGAAGGGCCGTCCACTACAGCTGGAAGGGCTGTTCACTACAGATGTAAGGGTTGTTCACTACAGCTGGAAGGGCCGTTCACTACAGCTGGAAGGGCTGTTCACTACACCTGGAAGGGCTGTTCACTACATCTGGAAGGGCTGTTCGCTACAGCTGGAAGGGCTGTTCACTACAGCTGGAAGGGCTGTTCGCTACAGCTGGAAGGGCTGTCCACTACAGCTGGAAGGGCCGTTCACTACAGATGTAAGGGTTGTCCACTACAGCTGGAAGGGCTGTTCGCTACAGCTGTAAGGGCAGTCCACTACAGACGGAAGGGCTGTTCACTACAGACGGAAGGGCTGTTCACTACAGCTGGAAGGGCCGTCCACTACAGACGGAAGGGCTGTTCACTACAGCTGGAAGGGCTGTTCACTACAGCTGGAAGGGCTGTTCACTACAGATGTAAGGGCCGTCCACTACAGCTGGAAGGGCTGTTCGCTACAGCTGGAAGGGCCGTCCACTACAGCTGGAAGGGCCGTCCACTACAGCTGGAAGGGCTGTTCACTACAGCTGGAAGGGCTGTTCACTACAGCTGGAAGGGCTGTTCACTACAGTTGGAAGGGCAGTTCACTACAGATTGAGGGTTGTCCACTACAGCTGGAAGGGCTGTTCACTACAGCTGGAAGGGCTGTTCACTACAGCTGGAAGGGCAGTTCACTACAGCTGGAAGGGCCGTCCACTACAGCTGGAAGGGCTGTTCACTACAGCTGGAAGGGCTGTTCACTACAGCTGGAAGGGCTGTTCGCTACAGCTGGAAGGGCCGTCTACAACAGCTGGAAGGGTCGTCCACTACAGCTGGAAGGGCTGTTCACTACAGCTGGAAGGGCAGTCCACTACAGCTGGAAGGGCTGTTCACTACAGCTGGAAGGGCTGTTCACTATAGATGTAAGGGTTGTCCACAACAGCTGGAAGGGCTGTTCACTACAGCTGGAAGGGCAGTCCACTACAGCTGGAAGGGCTGTTCACTACAGCTGGAAGGGCTGTTCACTACAGCTGGAAGGGCTGTTCACTACAGATGTAAGGGCCGTCCACTACAGCTGGAAGGGCTGTCCACTACACCTGGAAGGGCTGTTCACTAGAGCTGGAAGGGCCGTCCACTACAGCTGGACTCTAAATTAAGCCTCTAATGGTCATATACCCCGATTTTATGTTGAATATTGCAGCACTTTGTTGATTCCCTGTTGGAGCTTACAGATCGTCTGCGGTGGGAATTGAACCAATCCACAGTGCGGCGTGATCAAAGCGTCGAGCACGATGACCACCCGACCTACCACACGGGTCACATTCTGCGCCCGGCCTTTAACACGGCGTGTTTCTGTCACTGCAGGCGATGCGGTGCATGCCATTTCAAAATCCCGGCCACAGCTGATCGCCTGGATCGGCACGAATCCCCGGCACCTCCTGCTGCAACTCATCAACCAGTCGCTGATACCAAGAGACGCGTTGGCCAGAGTGAGGGTGGCGCGGAGTGACGAGCAGGTGGCTGGGATCCTGCTGGACCTCTACGTCGGCCGAGGCAATGACGGCTGCGAGAGGCTACTGTTCGCGCTGTACGCGGTGAAGAACGAGTACCCAAAGGTCAAGCAGTGGCTGAAGTCTCTGAGTGAGTGAACTTTCGAAATGTCGCGTGCACCGTTACTGCTTTCCAGCATGACCCGTGAGACGCCATCGACGAAGTGTAGATGTGGAAGCGGTTTTTTGCCGATAAACAAGATGGTCCCCATCGCCATAGGGATTTGTAATTCTTACCCCTGCAGACTCTCGCGAAATTGGGAATGAACCTCATGGAAGGTATTTTTTGTTTTTGTTTTTGTTTTCACCACAACAGCCCATTTTTTTTGGGTGAAAATTTGAACTGGTGGATTGGCAGAAGCTGCGCTCACTTAATTCTACAAGAGATTCCAGGAGCGGCAATAATCTAATTACATCAACGCATGTTCCATTTGACTGATTTCCAGCCGACTTCATTAATGCGCCATCGATGAGTGTCTGCGCTCGTTTGATGCAAAAAGCGATTGTGGGGGGAAATAAATAAATAAATGCACTTTGCCCCTCGCCATAGGATCGTCAATTTCTCACTCCACGTCGGGAAATGCAGACGTTTTTATTAAATCGGAATGGACCCCGTGCGCTCACAGCAATTATTTCCGAAAATGTAAAACCGGAAACGGCAACTATAGAATTAATGCACAATCGTTGTTTCTGCTAAATCACATTTAAGCAACTCTTCTGCCACAAACATCATCATCATCATACAATTATACAATTGTTATTCTTAGCTCTTCCGGTAAAGTCACCACGTTGAAGGGAAACAATAAAATAATAAAATATATATAAAACAATAAAAAAAATTCTCACGACGTTTCGACCATAACACAAACGGTCGTCATCAGGTGTGTCGGTTTGCATAAATTTATTTATTTTTAAACGGTGTATTTATTTATTTATAATAAAAAAAACGTTAGCGCCACGCGCAGCGATTTGGCAGTCGTGAGAATTTTTTTATTGTTTTATATATTTTTTTATTATTGTATCGTTTCCCTTCAACGTGACTTTACCGAAAGAACTAAGGATATGAATTATACCGCAGTCACGAAAGCTTCAAATCAAAATTATAATTGTTGTTACCTTTTTCTTCTACGGGTCTCTGTGGGCGTTTACTTTATGGGCCATAGTTTGGGTTGCATGGCCACAATCGTGAACTTGATGTGGTGCAGCATCGGCCAGTTGATGTCCAGTGACTATGAGGAGGAGGTTATTGGAGGAATGTCAAAGCCAGGAGAGTGGTGCAGTGGGCGGGGGGGGATAGGGAAATTAGGTTTTTGTCATTCCGTAGAGTCCACGTTGCTCCCACTCGCTGTGCGCGGGGCAACACATCGGGTGTGTCGAATTGGGAAAGGGGTCAAGGCCCTTGCCATCGCAGGGTAACTCAACGGTCACCACAGCGAGCGACGTCAAACAACAAAGGCTCAAGACTGTTGTCCAAATTGAGTTGAGAGTGGGTTCGTTCACCATATCAGTTCCGTGTTTGTTTGTTTTTTTTTTAGATAGCAACTACAAGTGGCTCCCTCGTTTGGCGATATTAATCGGTTTCACGAATACCATCGGCCTTGAAATGATCACGTAGGCTTTCCCGCCCAAATCGATCCGTAACGTAGATGTTTTTGGGTTATATCGCGACAGGAGGTACAAGAATAATATGCATGCATAATGTACGTCGATTACCATAGGAATGATGCGGCTGTAAACGGGAAAAAAACCCATTGTAATTTATTTGCATTCATGAATCTCCCCCCACCATCTTTGCACGTGAAAAGCTCACACGTGACGTCATCACATCAACCCCTCTACGGAAAGAAACGGGTTGGATTTCTCCACAAAATATAGCCGTCGCCCCATTAAGCCAGTTATAATTACAATTGTGCTCAGACTGTAAATGTTTGTGGATTTGCTCTCCAATCCACTGGTGTTGCTATACTCGTGTTGAGGTGCAACTGACGATGCTGACACGGTTGTTCAGTAGGGGACGGATGCCAAGGTCTATTAATGGCTACTGCCGGTAACTTATTAAAGGCTTATGCCCAACAGGTGACAACCCTGATATCTCCCCAGGAGGAAAGGGTAACTGGGAGGTCCCCAGCTCCACCCAGGCTAGACGTGATCTCTCCTCCTCCCACCCAGAACCGACCGAGGGATCATCCAACTCGGTCGGCCGGGCGAAGTAGTCACCCTAGCCTGGCGCTGATTCTCCCTACCCTGGAATCCCGACTCCCTAACACTCTGACGTCATCCATTCTCACCACCCCCCTCACTGAGTGACATGACGTCCTCCGCTACTCGTGTACACTAGCAAGGAATTGCTATGTTCCGTTTTACGTGACACTTGACCTCACCAATTGGCCGCGTCGGGTGGTGGCAGGTTTAACGACACAACGTTTATATCCATGCGATCCAACCCAAAACACCTATGTGATGGATTTAAATTATTGTTAATCGAATTTAGGAAATGCGCGTTAAAGGCACACTAATTGCTTATTTTTTTGTACCTATTTGCTTGTCTTTCTTCACATTCATTTTACGGGGGGGCGGGGGGGGGGGGGCATTGTTCTTATTTAACATTTGAGTGAAAAAAAGTGTTGAAGAGAGCGGGCTCCATAAGCAGCCCAACATGAAAACGTTGACAAACTTTAGCATCCATTTGCTCTCAAAAACGGCCCGTAAAGTGGGTGGTCGCTGATTGGCTGAGGTCTGCCGCCGAGTCCACTCAGGGAGGGGGCGGCTCCGATTGGCCGAAATTGGCGGTGTGCATGGCATCGGAAAACACGCGCACGCACGCGCACGGACGCATCGCTCATCGAGAATGTAATCGTTAATGGGGAACGACGTGGAGCCCCCCAATGGGAGGAGGATGTCGTTAATCGATGGCGTCGTAAAACGAATTTGCCACTGTATTTTTTGCAGTGTGTTTGTTGTATTTCTGTGGTATTTCTGTAGTGTTTATGTCGTATTTCTGTGGTATTTCTGTTGTACTTCTGTTGTATTTCTGTGGTATTTCTGTTGTATTTCTGTGGTATTTCTGTGGTATTTCTGTTGTATTGCTGTTGTACTTCTGTTGTATTTCTGTAGTATTTCTGTAGTATTTCTGTTGTATTTATGTTGTATTTCTGTGGTATTTCTGTTGTGTTTCTGTAGTATATCTGTAGTATTTCTGTTGTATTTCTGTAGTATTTCTGTAGGATTTCTGTAGGATTTCTGTTGTATTTCTGTTGTTTTTCTGTAGTATTTCTGTTGTGTTTCTGTGGTATTTCTGTTGTATTGCTGTTGTACTTCTGTAGTATTTCTGTTGTATTTCTGTAGTATTTCTGTTGTATTTCTGTAATATTTCTGTAGTATTTCTGTAGTATTTCTGTAGTATTTCTGTGGTATTTCTGTTGTATTTCTGTGGTATTTCTGTAGTATTTCTGTCCTATTTCTGTAGTATTTCTGTTGTATTTCTGTAGTATTTCTGTAGTATTTCTGTTGTATTTCTGTAGTATTTCTGTTGTATATCTGTAGTATTTCTGTAGTATTTCTGTAGTATTTCTGTTGTATTTCTGTGGTATTTCTGTAGTATTTCTGTAGTATTTCTGTAGTATATCTGTTGTATTTCTGTAGTATTTCTGTAGTATTTCTGTTGTATTTCTGTGGTATTTCTGTAGTATATCTGTAGTATTTCTGTTGTATTTCTGTGGTATTTCTGTGGTATTTCTGTTGTATTGCTGTAGTATTTCTGTAGTATTTCTGTTGTATTGCTGTTGTACTTCTGTAGTATTTCTGTTGTATTTCTGTTGTATTTCTGTAGTATTTCTGTAGTATTTCTGTTGTATATCTGTAGTATTTCTTTTGTATTTCTGTGGTTTTCTGTAGTATTTCTGTTGTATTTCTGTTCTATTTCTGTAGTATTTCTGTTGTTTTTCTGTAGTATTGCTGTGGTATTTCTGTTGTATTGCTGTAGTATTTCTGTTGTATTTCTGTTGTATTTCTGTTGTATTGCTGTTGTACTTCTGTAGTATTTCTGTTGTATTTCTGTAGGATTTCTGTAGTATTTCTGTTGTATATCTGTAGTATTTCTGTTGTATTTCTGTTGTTTTTCTGTAGTATTTCTGTTGTATTTCTGTTCTATTTCTGTAGTATTTCTGTTGTATTTCTGTGGTATTTCTGTTGTATTTCTGTTGTATTTCTGTGGTATTTCTGTTGTATATCTGTAGTCTTTCTGTTGTATTTCTGTTGTATTTCTGTAGTATATCTGTTGTATTTCTGTAGTATTTCTGTTGTATTTCTGTAGTATTTCTGTAGTATTTCTGTTGTATTTCTGTTGTATTGCTGTAGTATTTCTGTTGTATTTCTGTGGTATTTCTGTTGTATTGCTGTAGTATTTCTGTAGTATTTCTGTAGTATTTCTGTTGTATTTCTGTAGTATTTCTGTTGTATTTCTGTTGTATTTCTGTAGTATTTCTGTTGTATTTCTGTAGTATATCTGTAGTATTTCTGTTGTATTTCTGTGGTATTTCTGTTGTATTGCTGTTGTTCTTCTGTTGTATTTCTGTAGTATTTCTGTAGTATTTCTGTAGTATTTCTGTTGTATTTCTGTAGTATTTCTGTTGTATTTCTGTTGTATTTCTGTAGTATTTCTGTTGTATATCTGTAGTCTTTCTGTCCTATTTCTGTAGTATTTCTGTTGTATTTCTGTAGTATTTCTGTTGTATTTCTGTAGTATTTCTGTTGTATTTCTGTAGTATATCTGTAGTATTTCTGTAGTATTTCTGTTGTATTTCTGTAGTATTTCTGTTGTATTTCTGTAGTATATCTGTAGTATTTCTGTAGTATTTCTGTTGTATTTCTGTGGTATTTCTGTTGTATTGCTGTTGTACTTCTGTTGTATTTCTGTTGTATTTCTGTAGTATTTCTGTAGTTTTTCTGTAGTATTTCTGTTGTATTTCTGTAGTATTTCTGTTGTTTTTCTGTTGTATTTCTGTAGTATTTCTGTTGTATATCTGTAGTCTTTCTGTCCTATTTCTGTAGTATTTCTGTTGTATTTCTGTAGTATTTCTGTTGTATTTCTGTAGTATTTCTGTTGTATTTCTGTAGTATATCTGTAGTATTTCTGTAGTATTTCTGTTGTATTTCTGTGGTATTTCTGTTGTATTGCTGTAGTATTTCTGTAGTATTTCTGTAGTATTTCTGTTGTATTTCTGTAGTATTTCTGTTGTATTTCTGTTGTATTTCTGTAGTATTTCTGTTGTATTTCTGTAGTATATCTGTAGTATTTCTGTAGTATTTCTGTTGTATTTCTGTGGTATTTCTGTTGTATTGCTGTTGTTCTTCTGTTGTATTTCTGTTGTATTTCTGTACTATTTCTGTAGTATTTCTGTAGTATTTCTGTTGTATTTCTGTAGTATTTCTGTTGTATTTCTGTAGTATTTCTCTTGTATTTCTGTTGTATTTCTGTAGTATTTCTGTTGTATATCTGTAGTCTTTCTGTCCTATTTCTGTAGTATTTCTGTTGTATTTCTGTTGTATTTCTGTAGTATTTCTGTTGTATTTCTGTAGTATTTCTGTAGTGTTTCTGTAATATTTCTGTAGTATTTCTGTGGTATTTCTGTTGTATTTATGTGGTATTTCTGTAGTATTTCTGTTGTATTTCTGTTGTATATCTCTAGTCTTTCTGTCCTATTTCTGTAGTATTTCTGTTGTATTTCTGTAGTATTTCTGTTGTATATCTGTAGTATTTCTGTAGTATTTCTCTTGTATTGCTGTTGTATTGCTGTTGTATTTCTGTTGTATTTCTGTGGTATTTCTGTGGTATTTCTGTTGTATTGCTGTTGTACTTCTGTTGTATTTCTGATGTATTTCTGTAGTATTTCTGTAGTATTTCTGTAGTATTTCTGTAGTATTTCTGTAGTATTTCTGTAGTATTTCTGTTGTATTTCTGTCGTATTTCTGTTGTATTTCTGTAGTATTTCTGTAGTATTTCTGTAGTATTTCTGTTCTATTTCTGTTGTATTTCTGTAGTATTTCTGTAGTATTTCTGTTGTATTTCTGTTCTATTTCTATAATATATCTGTTGTATGTCTGTTGTTTTTCTGTAGTATTTCTGTTGTATTTCTGTAATATTTCTGTAGTATTTCTGTAGTATTTCTGTAGTATTTCTGTTGTATTTCCGTTGTATTTCTGTAGTATTTCTATTGCGATTTGAAGACCGGAAAAACCCGACGACTTCGCTGCCTTTCAGGATTCCTCAAGAGGCTCTTGACCAAGGTCCCGAGGTTTTTGGCCACGACCAAGGACAATGGCTTGCACAACCAAATCCGCTTCAACAAGGCGAGGTTCTGTGAAGCTATAATGCACGACCTGGAAGGCCTGCTCAGCTACCTCGAAAAGAGAAACTACTTCAGCAAGACGGTCACAGCGGTGAGTGTTTTCTGGCTCCAGCGGAACCAGGCAAAGACGGGCTAAACCCGCCAGCTGCCAGCACCGCCGAGATCCTCGCTCTGAGACGCCACGGCGGCTAGGAGGTGTCAACTCCCTCGCTTGGTAGACAGGAGATCGATTTTGATTTAAAGCTTTCGTGACTGCGGTAATTCATATTCCTAGTTTTTTCGGTAAAGTCACGTTGAAGAGAAACAACAAAATAATAAAATATATATATAAAACAATAAAAAAAATTCTCACGACGTTTCGACCATAACTCAAACGGTCAACCACCTGAAGATGACCGTTTGAGTTATGGTCGAAACGTCGTGAGAATTTTTTTATTGTTTTATATATATTTTATTATTTTGTTGTTTCTCTTCAACGTGACTTTACCGAAAAAACTAAGAATAGGAGATCGATTGTTCTATTTGAAGTTTGTGGTGTCTCTCTCCCCGTAGTGGCCACGTGGAGTATCAATTTCCACGTGATGATAAGCCACTTCGTTGAGCTTATCAGTTGTGATGACCAGGTCGCTTCTGAAAAAGAGCTCTATAGCAGCTCAGCGGGACCTCACCTGGTAGAATAAAAACTAAAAAAAAACGTGATGGAATCCATGGTTTTCACGTGAGATTGTTCAGTTACCACCATGTGTAACGAATTATTAATTCATGAAAGAAAACTCATCGTTCTGTCTGAATGAATTAATACACTTCTCCACACCGGCTAGTCATTAATGTTCTTTGGTTCTTTCGGTAAAGTCACGTAGAATGAGAATAAAATAATAAATTGATAAAATAAAATAACACAATCATATTCTCACGACGTTTCGGCCACAACACAAGCGGCCTTCATCAGGTGAAGGGACGAGACTGTCTGGCAGGACAGCGCTTAAAGGTCGTGATCTGAGCATGTACGTCATCCGTTTTTCTTCCCTCTGATTCTGTTCCGATGAGGTAGTGTAACGTCATAAAAACATTTCTTTCGATTCTGTTCCAACGACGTACTACGTGTACGTCGTTGGAATGGAACTGGAAGATAAAAGCTGATATTAATGCTATCGGTACCCAGTCTCACCACAAGGCCATGCGGGAGGGCATGGTGTGGCACAGTTTTGGCACCAGATATCAAAGAGAGTGGCAGCAGTCGTGTCGCTATGATCGTCTGCAATGAGTAACAACGTCTTTATAAAAAAAAACAAAGATACTACTACGCCTCTCTCTGAATAAAATTAACCCTGAGCCCGCTTTGCACATTCCGAGATTCAACGGTGAACGGAGACACGCACACACCACCCTTGTAAATTTTCAGATGTAGGAATAGGTTTTTACCCTTTTAACTGGCACAAAAACTGACAGCTGTATTCAAGGCATCGTGTTTGCAATGACCACAACACAAGCAGTCAAAATGCAAACAAAAAAGACAACTCTGATAATAATATTCACTGTCCTTTTTTGTTTGCATTTTGACTGCTTGTGCTGTGGTCATTGCAAACGTGATGCCTTGAATAAAGGTGTCAGTTTTTGTGCCAGTTAAAAGGGTAAAACCTATTCCTATATCTTGTTTCTGGCAAAGGAGGTCTCATAATGTTAAAAATGTGCAGATGTCTCGATGAATGGAGAAAGGCAGTTAATTCGTAGGTGTTGCGGCTTCGATAGATCTTCATTGTCGCACTAATGGAGCCCCATGAAATGTTTTGCAGGAGATAAGAGACATGGAGAAAAAAAAAGGGCGTGAATTGGCGGTGAAGCACCTGATTGAACTTGCTCTGGGAAAAGGCCGAGCGAAGTCCAGGGAGTTCTTGGAGATCCTTTGGCAACTTCAAGGCCAATACCCAAAGATGACCCGCATCTTTGATGAAATGTGACGTCGTCTAGCCGAGTTGATTCATTGAAGTGACATTTGCAATACGCTTGTGTCACTGAGAGTTCACAGTGGATGTTTTGATTCATAAAATGCTCGTCAAACTAGCACCGCTGGATTCAATTCCTCCACCCTCCTCCTTTCTACCTCCTCCATACTACCTCGTCTCCCCACTCCTCCATTTCGCCTAATCCTCCTACACCAATATTCCTCCACTCGCAACGCAGGGAGCTCATCAGTACTGCTAGTTGATTCACGCTTCTGTATTACCCCTATCTGGCGCACGAGCGACTTTAAACTGCAGCTCCTCGCCTCCGAGTTCATCATCGAACGATGCATCCATTTGGCAAAAAAAACACGCGCAAGTTATAGGAAGAGAGATGATCTTTTGTAATCATCATCATCATTATTATTACTACGACGTTCACATTGAAAATAGTGGCAGAAGACAGCTTCAGGAGTCGACTTGTGAGTGTTTGAAACGCTGCCTTGCGAATGATCAAAGCGGGTAAGTGGCGTTACTTGACGTCGAGCGGTTTGAGATTGGGCGGCCAAAGTAGCACAAGCCGGCTCAAAGCATCATCAATGTGCTCACAATGGCCGTGTTGGTTCAATAATGGCCACGTCGAACAGCAATTGAGTCAGCATCACTGACATCTGGGTTCCGGCTCTTGGTTCATGTGGCTCTTTCTCTCTCAGCGTCATTAATCACCCGTAACAAAAAGTCACGGTACTCGAATTGCATAATGTCGTAGGTTTCCTGTCCAACACAACGGCTAATGCTGTATTAGTTAGCGAATTGGCCTGCTCTGTTTACGTGACAAACCTTGCTAGTTTGCTGTGTCGGGTGGTGGCGGGTTTAACGACACATTCATATTCACGTTATCTAAACCAAATACACTGTTATTGATAATATTGATCGCGAAAGCCTCCTACTATGTGTTAACTGAAAGAGTGAAGATTTGTATGGGGGGGGGGCAGGGGGGGCAGGGGGAAGAGGGAGTGAGGGAAAGGGAATATTCTACACATCAATTAATATCCACGTGGCCATAAGCAGCGTTTGACTTTATAATTGTGGGGGGTGGGGGGGGGGTGGTGCAGGGGTTCGCTTTGTCGCTCACATTAGGAATGGCAGGGTGCACGTGATTATATATTCTTGTACAGGGGAAATTTGAGTTAAAAAAAAATCTATATTTTTTGTGTTTCTCCCTTGTGATGGGACTTAGTAGGATGAACATTGAGATTTATAAGGGCACAGCGTGACCAATAAGGTCTTAATTAGTCTCTAATAAGGTAGGGGCACTGATAAGGAGGTAACAGGCATGTAGCGGTGTGTGTACTAGTGGTTAGTGCAGTGTTGGTGATTGTCTATTTGTTTGCGTTTCTCCCCTTGCGATGGGACTTTGTAGGATGAACGTTGAGATTTATAAGGGGCACGGGCTGAACAATAAGGTCTTAATTAGTCTGTAATAAGGTAAGTAGGGGTACTGATAAGGAGTTGATGCAGGCAGTAGCGGTGTGTGTACTAGTTGTGAGTGCAGTGGTGGTGATTGTCTATTTGTTTGCGTTTCTCCCCTTGCGATAGGACTTTGTAGGATGAACGTTGAGATTTATAAGGGCACGGGGTGACCAATGAGGTCTGAATTGGTCTGTAATAAGTTAGAGCGCTGATACGGGGTTGACATGTATGCGACTGGACCAAAGGCAGATGTGGCAGTGCATTAAGACACTAGGAGCTGGGGGGGGGGGGGGATGGGGGCAGTGTTGGTTGAGTCATGATCTAGGACGATCACATTGCGATTAAACACGTGGGCACACTTAGCCCTGTTCAGTGTGCCATCGTGTTGGTGAGTCGGTGGGAATGAATAAACGGGGCACCGGTCGTGGCACATCAACATCGCCTAGAGGTCAATGGTTGTCAACCTTTTGTTTGGTTTACTACATTCATCTGTAACCCACCCCGCCCCCCCCCCCCTGCCCCCCATTGTTGAATTTAATTTCTAACGAGTAGTTGTACCCCACTTGCCTAACCCAAAGCGGTTTTGATAAATACATTTTACGAATAAAGCACATCACTATTTTGGCCAATGGTCCACTTTGTGAGGCCGCTTGTGTTGTGGCCGAAACGTCGTGAGAATATTATTGTGTTATTTTTTATTTTATCAATTTATTATTTTATTCTCATTCTACGTGGTGGCGGTGACTTTACCGAAAGAACCAAAGAAGATGAATCATTGCAGTCACGAAAGCTTTAAATCGAAATTTAGGTCATCCAAACTTTGGGAAGTAACTGCAAGCGAATACAAGATGGAAAAAAAATGTCAACGTACACTCTGCACGGGTGACGTAATCAGTTCGCGCTCGCCGGTTAGACTTGGAAACCCGGATCGTTTACGATCGACGAGTATTTAGAAAGGATGTTTTGAAATCATTCTAGGTTACCGAATCGACTTTAATGTTATCGTAGTTGTTTGACATTGGCAGATACACACACGTGATTATTCACCGGTGACTCTCACGTACGATCGAATTTCACACGCGCATAAATGAGCTCCTGGTGGCTGAAGAGGGAGCAACGGACAGTGAGATGTACCGCAAACTCTGCGGTACAAGCGGGGAGCGCCCGGGGTCCAACTCGTGTGACAGAGAGAGACAGGGAGAGAGAGACAGGGAGAGAGAAGTGAAGCAAGCAAAAGGGAGAATACAAGCGTACGGGCGCAATTGAAACCTCTTTCAATTTCATGCAATGATAACCACCGCTGTGATCTCGGTGGAGTTCACGGCCAGAAGAACAACACACGCAGCGTAGGAAACGCATCACACGAGAAACAACCGAGAGATCCTGGTTGCGAGTTCTGGCCATCAAAAACGCGTCTAGAATCAGAATAACAGACCCTGGAGGAATCCAATGGAAATCCATCACTTGCAAGGCTTTCTTTCCCCCCCCCCCCCCCCCCCCCAACGGAAACGTCTCAGCGTGAGTTTTAATTAAAAAAAAATGGACGCCCGAAATGCCGAATCCCCAATTGCCGTAATCTTTCTGAGGCAGGCGAGGGAGGTTCGAAAGGCACCCGGGGATGATCGGAGAGACTGCTCCGTCGGCTTCAGAGCGCAATCAGAACAGAGGCAGCCTCCAGAGGAGGCCGTCACATGCCCCCGCAGTAGCAATGTGTTCGGCACGAATCACAAATCATGATCTCGCACCGACTCGTTCAGGAGGAGGGGGCACACTGAGTCGTACGACCCCTTTGCAAGGAGGCCTCTGCATTGAGAGTTTACGTTAAGACTCGCTTTACCACCCGGCTTCGCACGTGACTTGGATTCTTGCCTTGGATTAATAGACGGCCTACGGGGGAGGGTGGGACGCGTGACGTCAGCAGGCACACTGAGTGACGCTGCCGCATGCGGGTGACATCACAGACGTGACGTCACCGCTCACTTGCCTTGCAAAATATATCCATTATTGCGCCCCCAAAATTCAAAAGTCTATTTTTTTATACTTTTTGCATTGTGTACAGTCTGGAAGCTACCCACATGCCAAATTTTAAGTTTGTTGCATGTTGGGAAGTATGCTAACGATTTCGAACAGACACACATATTCACAAATTTCACTTTTATATATAGATGTTTTCAGATAATTCCTTGATGAGTGTCATTGCACTAAACTAAGCAACTGTAATTTTATTTTAACAGGAAATGCCCGCTGAGCGAAATAGCTTATATTTCCCCCCCCCCCCAGAAGCCACCTGGCTGTTACAAATAGCCCAATGAAGTGGCCTATCATCACGTCGAAATAAAAACGCAGCCAAATAGTCGAAACTCACAGAGATGTACATAACGACCCATAGACACACACATAGACCCAAAGAGATAAAGATACCCATAGATACACGTAGAGACCCATAGATACAGATAGAGACCCATAGACACACACATAGACCCAAAGAGATACAGATACCCATAGATACACATAGAGACCCATAGATACAGATAGAGACCCATAGACACACACATAGACCCAAAGAGATACAGATACCCATAGATACACATAGAGACCCATAGATACACAGAGACCCATAGACACACACATAGACCCAAAGAGATAAAGATACCCATAGATACACAGAGACCCATAGATGAACATAGAGACCCAAAGACACACACATAGACCCAAAGAGACACAGACACCAATAGATACACATAGAGACCCATAGATACAGATAGAGACCCAAAGACACACACATAGACCCAAAGAGATAAAGATACCCATAGATACACGTAGAGACCCATAGATACAGATAGAGACCCATAGACACACACATAGACCCAAAGAGATAAAGATACCCAAAGATACACATAGAGACCCATAGATACAGATAGAGACCCATAGACACACACATAGACCCAAAGAGATACAGAAACCCATAGATACACATAGAGACCCATAGATACACAGAGACCCATAGACACACACATAGATCCAAAGAGATACAGATACCCATAGATACACATAGAGACCCATAGATACAGATAGAGACCCATAGACACACACATAGACCCAAAGAGATAAAGATACCCATAGATACACGTAGAGATCCATAGATACAGATAGAGACCCATAGACACACACATAGACCCAAAGAGATAAAGATACCCATAGATACACAGAGACCCATAGATGAACATAGATACCCAAAGACACACACATAGACCCAAAGAGACACAGACACCAATAGATACACATAGAGACCCATAGATACAGATAGAGACCCAAAGACACACACATAGACCCAAAGAGACACAGACACCAATAGATACACATAGAGACCCATAGATACACACAGAGACCCATACATGAACATAGAGACCCATAGACACACACATAGACCCAAAGAGATACAGATACCCATAGATACACATAGAGACCCATAGATACAGATAGAGACCCATAGACACCCACATAGACCCAAAGAGATACAGATACCCATAGATACACGTAGAGACCCTTAGATACAGATAGAGACCCATAGACACACACATAGACCCAAAGAGATAAAGATACCCATAGATACACATAGAGACCCATAGATGAACAAAGAGACCCAAAGACACACACATAGACCCAAAGAGATAAAGATACCCATAGATGCACAGAGACCCATAGATGAACAAAGAGACCCAAAGACACACACATAGACCCAAAGAGACACAGACACCAATAGATACACATAGAGACCCATAGATACAGATAGAGACCCAAAGACACACACATAGACCCAAAGAGACACAGACACCAATAGATACACATAGAGACCCATAGATACACACAGAGACCCATAGATGAACATAGAGACCCATAGACACACACATAGACACCAATAGATACACATAGAGACCCATAGATACAGATAGAGACCCAAAGACACACACATAGACCCAAAGAGACACAGACACCAATAGATACACATAGAGACCCATAGATACAGATAGAGACCCATAGACACACACATAGACCCAAAGAGATAAAGATACCCATAGATACACGTAGAGACCTATAGATACAGATAGAGACCCATAGACACACACATAGACCCAAAGAGATAAAGATACCCATAGATACACATAGAGACCCATAGATACAGATAGAGACCCATAGACACACACATAGATCCAAAGAGATACAGATACCCATAGATACACATAGAGACCCATAGATACAGATAGAGACCCATAGACACACACATAGACCCAAAGAGATAAAGATACCCATAGATACAGGTAGAGACCCATAGATACAGATAGAGACCCATAGACACACACATAGACCCAAAGAGATAAAGATACCCATAGATACACAGAGACCCATAGATGAACATAGATACCCAAAGACACACACATAGACCCAAAGAGACACAGACACCAATAGATACACATAGAGACCCATAGATACAGAT